TTGTTCTACAGCAATCGAACAGGTGTCTGCCAGACCCCCAGCTTGACCGACGGCGTTTGGATTCAGCACATAAGCGCATACGTTGCAATGAACGGCTTCCGCAGAGTTGACAGTCACAAGGGCACGTAATGGTTGCCCAGGGAAAGCTAAGCCCAAAACTTCAGAAATAAATGTTAGTTGTGGCGTAGACAGCTGTTTAAAACTTGTGCGATTTGGAATAGAATGTAGAAGCTGCCGAAAATACTTTCATTCTCGATGTGCTCGCCTTAGTCTCAGCCAGCTGAAAGTGCTTAACCATACGACTGATTCTCGTTGGTTCTGCACTGAGTGTACGTCACTTCTACTCCTCAGATGTATAACTGCGTTGACGCAGAAGTACGATAGGTTGACAAAGATTGTAGAGCAGGCAGCAGTCGTGAAAACTGTCCCACATGAACCAGACAAATCAGTGCCTCGAACTCCATGCTCAACATCAAGCTCCAAGTCAGCACAGTGTAAGAGTAACGATCCAGATTTAGCCACCCCGACACTAGCGTCTTCTCTTAAAGTTGTGTTCGCCACACATTCCTCAACAGAATCACCCGCCACAATAAACACTGTTAGATGGCCGGCACCCTATGCGTCCGTTGTTACCACCCATATGACGGAGTCACCTCTCAATGCAACCGCGCTTGCTGCAAACCGAGTTGCTACCGCCAATACCACCATGGGACTCAATACCCCATCATTTGTCTAACCGAAGAAAGCAGCCACTGATCCCTCCAAAAAGGAGAACATGAAACACTACCATAATTCTCTAACTGTTATATGCTCTGATGTGACTGGCTTCAGGGGCGAACTCCGCAAAAGATAAGATACCCGACGACAAAAAACAGTGGGACTCCCTGTGTCAACTAATAGGGGTCCAAGCTAAACCAGTCAGTATGATGCGTCTCCTCCGTCACCCAAACTCTGTACACTACGGTGAACCGCGGTTACTCCAGCTAACACTTCAGTCAGGGAATGATGCAAAGGCAGTTCTCTTGTCAGCTACTCACCTCCGTACCACCACATGCACTGTTCGAATATTTCCAGATTTTCCTTGGAGCGAACGCCAGAAACGCAAAGAAAATCCGGATGACTTCCGTAAATAACAAGACGCAAAATCTATTCTTGTTCACGATGTCCCCGAGCTCCAGTCACTAAGCGAGTTAGAGGTCAAAGCGCATGACTGGGATGAATGACGTTTTATTCGTGAAGTACTCTCATTCGAAAATGTTATCGCTAATTCGACATCAAGGTTACTGCTATCACCTAACTATAAAGGGTGTGGTCCTCGAATGATGAAAGTATCATTGCATTCTGAACTGATGACAGAACATGTGATCAAAATGTGGCACCAAAAGCGTAAAACGCTGCCAGGCGAAATACGAATAAAAGCAATAGGCACCGGGCCACAGATAGATAATGTAACACTGAGCAAGCAACTTGCCAATACAATTCTGTCCCCGTGTATCTCGGAACGCAAACAATGTCAAAACTCACTGACAGTTGAAGGAGGACAGGATGGTCACTCTCTTGTTGGTGCTGACAACTCTATACAGCAACCTGAACTGGCCCTAAGGGCTGCGTCATCAGTCCTACAAAAAATACAACCCGCAGCCGACCCGGCAAGGGTCGGCATAAACCCTCACTGGAAACCAGCATTCACAAACACGCTTCTGACCACCGATGGCATCACCTGCTTGTATACCGATGCACAAGGTCTTCTCAGCAAGCTAACCGAACTTCGTGTTTGTCAGGTCCCCAAGTCTTGGGACCTAGTTATGGTCACCGAAAAATGCCTGAACACGGAGATCACAGATGCAGAGATTGCACTACCCGGCATGACTTCTATACGAAAAGATTGATCTAGCAGAGGAGGGGGAGTACTCCTGTATTATCGATCCAACATGCACATTGGTGTCATTGAGGACCCATAAAAGTCGTCGATTCTCTTTGGTGTCGTACGTACCTAAGGCGTGGTGATGTGCATTTTCCAGCAGTAGTTTACTGCCCTCCAATGTCCACCTTGGAAATGGATCAGTGTTTAGCTTCTGCGATGAAACCATTCCTGGCAATAGCATACAGTCACGTCCTTCTGGTACGGAAATTCAATCTGCACGCGATCGAAGTTCCAGCATCGCACAGCGAAGAATTCAAGGCGGATTTGCAAAAGGTGCTTGCCAAGATACCTCTGTATAACCAGGTCACCTCTCCCACACGATTCCAAACGGGTGACACACCCTCTGTTTTGGGCCTTGTGCTCTCCACCGAGGAACTAATGGTCGACACCGTGACCACAGATGCACCACTTGGCCGTAGCGATCATGCGATGTTGCTCTTTCGTTACATCTGTTACTCGGAGTACATCACTAAGAACAACCTGGAAAGCTATTTTGTAACACATTACGACAAACCGTCTAACTGCGTTCAAGAAACCGACTGGTCCTTGCTGGCCGAGAAGCCGCCCGATATCACTCAATTCCCAGAGTTAGTGGAAAATGCATCAGAAAGCAACGTCCTCAGCCCGAAGCAAGTGAACGCGTTCATGAGAAGCCGTACTAAAAATGCTTGGCCATAATGGATTCAGCCTGGCGAACTTACAAAGTCTGTCCAGATAACCTGACCTCGGATGTTTACACCACTCAAGGAAACTACTGTGTCAACTTGATCTGCGAAGACAAACCCCAGCACCAACAGAACTTAGCGGCGAAATTCAGTACAAATCCTAAGTTGCTGTATAGACACGTCAACAAACTCCGCAGAGTGCAGCGCGGGATCCCGGTTTTACGTGCAACAGATGGTCTTGCGCAAACCGCGCAAGATGCAGCCAACGTGCTTCGCCAACACTACATCCATACTTTCCGTAGTATATCATCATTTCATCTGCTTTTTACACAGCTTCCATCGTTACCAGGGTTAAACCACGTGTTGTTCACGGTAGCCAATGTGATGAAATGGCTAACGTCATTACGCGTGCACAGCTCACCTTGTGTGAAGGACATCAAAACGAAGGCCTTGAAGACAGCGGCCATGAATCTTGCCGAACCATTAGCGCGGTTCTTCCAAGATTGTCTCGACGAAATGCAAGTTCCGACAATGTGGAAACATGGACTAGTCACTGCTATTTACAATAGTGATAATCGTTCGGAGCCCTCGAAATACCGTCCAATCACTCTGCTCCCAGGTTTATCCAAATTAATGGAAGGTATAATTGCTGAGGCGCTCATGGATATCTGGAGAGCAACAACATCCTAGTGTCAAAGCAACACGGTTTCCGCCGAAATCGATCCTGTACCACAATCTTGCTGCTAGCCAGAGAATCAGCCGATGCCAGAGTGGGAGTCGGCGTTGTCTACCTGGACTTCTCGAATGCGTTCGCTCGTTGGGACCACCGCATTCTCCTTCACAAGCTTCGAAGCTATAGAATCGGTGACCCTATACTCGGTTGGACCAGCAACTTTCTCGTTCAACGTCAACTGAAGACGAGAGTCCGCAGCTCCATTTCCGACCCAATTGACATCCAGTGTGGCGTGCCTCAAGGATTGGTACTGGGCCCACATTTATTTCTCACATTCATTAAATGTCTTGGCAGTCTACTGCAGTCGAATTTCACAATATTTGTATATGAGATCAAAATTTGTCATTATGTCAAGGCATCGACGTCGACGCGCATGAAGATCCGCAATGTAGAGCGACCAAACTCGTTAGAGGATTGTTGCATCACTCGTACCACCGCAGACTGCAGTCCTTGAGATTGTACGTTGGTGAATCTCGACGTCAGCGAGGAGACCTAATCTTGGTTTACTTAATACTAACAAACCCAACTCACCCATGTCGCAATCTTTTGCAGCTGAGCCGAAATATCAACCTGAGAGGCCATCAGCTCAAATTGGCCAAGCAATACATTCGACTTGATTGTCGACGAAAAGTTTTCCCCCTCCGTGTGTCCCGTGCTTGGAACGCCCTTCCGACTCACGTTATCCTTGCCCCTACATTAAACCTTTTCAAAGAGTGCCTTGATGAAATGCTTTCAAACTTGCATTACTTGATATAGTCCGTTCCACTTGGAGGATGAAATAACACAAACCTAACCATGTGCTTAACGGCACTCTCCGCAACCTGGCGGTGAGGATACATGCAGAAGTGTCCATGTGATTAGCCTGAATGTAGCTAAACTGGATTAACCTATCACATTTTCAAATAAAGAAACAAACGAGTGAGTGTTGTCGTTTCCTTTTTTATTTCTCATGCACTTACGGATCTATACCAACTCTCTATACTATTTTGCATGTGCACATCCCATTCCCACTTAAAACTATCGTTATGCAGTAGTGCATTTAACTCGGTGGACACTTGAAATAACGCTTTACTTATTCGACCACCTTATCAATTTTAATTTTTACTCCAACCACCCTACGGAACTTGTCAAACACATGCTTTTTTTACCCGTGATAAATCATTGTTCATTGTTGATTGTTCAAATGGGAAATCATAGATAGTCATACAACTTGTATAAAACGGTGTGCGAACGAATCAACCGGATAAGAGTTTGATTGATTAACTCCCCATTAATGGAGATTCACAGCTTACTGTAAATTTTGTTTTTTCTTTTAAACACATTACCGACGATCCAGGTGGACACATTAAACTTTTGCTTTATTATCCGCAATATTCCATTGATCATTGATCCCACACACAGAGTAGCTCATATTTATAACCTTTGAGAATGTGTTCGAGGTTAGAGTTTGTCCAATGGTAACGACTTTTTGAGACTAGGTAGTTAGATACGACCTACACCTGTTAATAAGTAAGTCTTTTGTAGCCTAACCGGTGGAGAACCAACGATGGCACTACGCAGTCATCATGGAACGTTTCTAGTTATCAATGCACCAAATAAGCAAATCCCCTCTCCGCTGTAACCCAGAATAAGGAGTCATGCTGGTAGTCTGTCGGGAATTGCTGAGCTTGTCACTCACCTGCGCGTTTAGATTTGCTCCGTCAAGATATACTTGGCCGCCTGCTTGATGCACGAGCTCAGTTGCTTCTAGGAGATTATCGTCGAATACGCCAAAGGTGGTCGGGTAGGTGATCATGATGGCAGCAAGTGCGTCCTTGTGTCGAGCAACCTGTTGTCTTAAGTGCCCCATGTCAAAGGCACCACGTTTGGTTACATTGACCGGTTGAACAGTCATGCCAGCTAACCGAGCACTCGCAGGGTTTGTCCCATGAGCAGATGTTGGAATTAGACAGACCTATGAAGGGAATTGCAAAGAAATGAGATCCGAAAGATGCAGTCCTCATACACTTTCCTAAATACTGTTATAATGGATTGGGTATTATTTGGTGCCCATGGACTAGTCTTCTGTAGTTCTGAATTCGATCAGGTTATCTCACAACTCAGACGATTAGTCGGAAGAAGTGGTTCTGATGCGCAATGGAAACAAAATGGAAGTGCGATGGAGCTGATAAAAGTCAAACAACGGATAAATTTCTTATGTGTTTCAAGGAGCAAGTGTTTGTTGGATTGATTGTTTCTTTTCTCTGCAATTTGCACACTGCTTGCAAATGACGTTAGACCATAATGCAAATATTGTCGCAGGGGGTTGGCATCGAGTATCTGTGCAGCAAACGGTTCACCACATTTTTCCTTATGTATGCTTATAGGAGAAAAAACGGATAAATTGACTATCTTAAATAACTAACTAACCTGGATTAACCGACCACTGAAGTAGTGTTTTTTATAACCTGTCATAGGAGATAAACTGTTTCTTTTTGCGGAAAACAGTATTAGTGGGTGCCCTTAAAGTGAATGCACAAATTCTGTGGTTGGCAATGAGCAACTGCTATGTTCATCATAGCCGAATTCATTTGGCATACCAAGCCTCCAATTTTAATGTAAACCTAAACATTTACAACTCAGGTGTTCCCACATCCGCGCAGTCGTCGGGTACTTCGTCTCGCTCTTTATCACAGGAAGCTGGTAGGTTTTCTAACGGCCGGATGGTAGTGTATGAGTGAGGACAGAACTGAGGCACTATTTCAGCGAAACAACAATCATGAGAATATAATTCTCCAAATGACCTCGTGCACATCCAGGCGCCGTCATGCAGTTGCTACATCAAATGGCTGGACGACATAAGCTCATGAACCGCGCGACTTAATTCAATCCTACGTGGAGTAGTGGATAAAATCTCACTTGCCAACAACCTTACCCACCTTCCGTTTAGACTCGCCTATGCTTTCCAAGTAGCCTGCGATTGCTCGCAAACCGGAGTATTCTCCTTGTGCTCCGCTGTTTGGTGTCAGGCACACATGGTCGTAGCCCGTCATCTCGACCAAATCGTGTTCCAATTCAGAGATGAGCTCAGCGTAACCTTCCGTTTGATCAAGCGGAGCAAATGGGTGTATCTGGTTTACTGTTGACCACGAAACTGGCTGAAAATGTAAACTGAGGCTGAGCAAGAGACAATGATCAAGGAACGACAGAAGTCCTAGGAGTAGTAGAAGAGGGCAAGTTTTAGGATGACCAGAATGTAATCACTTTCTGATAGTGAGGTTCCAATTAAGACAGTACAGTTGCTGTGCTCCTAGTGAGTCTACTAGCTTGAACTGCAACGCCATAAACCATTCTATTCGGAACTCTGCACTTTCCTACATTCCAATTTAACAAACTTAAGGAGCTGGGTAACCAAGACCTGGAGCATGCTGTGTCGGTTTGCATACATGACACTGATCAATCGTGAATAGCAGCGACATAGGAAGATTCGGACACTTATAGGGATACCTGATGAGTTTCTGCTATTAATACGTATTGCAAGCAGCTATTTCTGTTCCACCAGTAAAGGAGAGCACTGTGCATGTGAAGTAATGCTTAGGTTCGTTAAGTCCACAGGAAGACTTCGGAGACTATCTCGTCAAAATCCTTCAACATTTACACAATCTAATCATTCCGTACATTGATCTTCGCTACATAATTGTATATTTTGAGTAGCTGTTCGGCTGCCCAAGCAGTAATCCGGCCATCGCGGACTGTTGTGGTTCTGCACATGTAGTTAAAACGAGATCTGAACTCCGAATGATCGATGCATGTATACTGGTCTCAAGAGCAAGTGGAGCCTTACCACAGTTGGTCGATTCGATTTCGGGAGCAGAAATGCTTCTTATTTAATGGCTGCGAGCAGTTAAAGTGAGCAGTTTACTTTGACCAAACTCTGCTGCAGCGCGTTGGAAGAAATTTTCATCGGCTGCCCACGTATGTCATCAGTCTGCGGCTCAGCGCTTTAGTTTCTTTGTGTCTTGTCTACTCGTGGGGATTGCGATGTCTCCTGATCCACCATACGTTGGATCAACACCTTCGTTTATTAACTCCCTGGCTCACTCAATGCAATGCACCTCAACAACCTTTGGTTGTATGTGGAGATTAAATACGCAATTCTTGTTGCATTTAAAGAATACCGAGCTGCGTAAACATCAAGGCTAGAAGCACTTTGTTATCAAGCAGGACTAATGGTGTCTCCTTTCATAATTCTGTGGTTCTTACCATAACTGCTGTGGTTGGAGTTAGTTTCATGGTGCAAGAACCAAGTGGAATCATCGAGTGGACCAGTGAGAAATCCTTGTTCTCCAGTTGTTTCATGTATCGTAGCAGTTCGGTTTCCGAATGATACGAATTAAAGATAGGGTGTGACAGGATTGCATCTTCGCGGAGATAAGAGTGGTTAGAAAACAAGTTAATCTTCTCGGATAACTGAAACAGAGTTGAGAATCAAAGGAAGGCTCACGTTACTTAGGTCAGTGTGACCAATATATTTACTGATGGAAGATGGTTGCTACTGATCATCTATTGCAATGTAAGGTACCACAATGCCTTAGTACACGTTAGGTTCTGTTAGATATAACCTACCCGACAGGAGATTCAAGGTTGAGTGTGATCAGAAGTCAAACCCCTCTTTGTAGTTGTGAATCGTGAAAAAACATGATATTGTCGGTTTGGGTCTTATACGGAAGTTCTACAAGATGAGACTGGATTAGAGAAAACGACAATAAGGCATGTCGGCAGTGGGAGACATCAGTGTGCACCCTATAGAGGGGGTACGGTTTCAGTGAGTAGAATCTAGGCGATTAGACCCGAAATAAGTCGTCAACTAGGTTTGGATGACTAGGGATATCGTTAACCTAAACGAAGCATAACTATATCCCCCGGGTGTTAGGGGCACCGGATTTATCCAATAAGCTCCGGAAAACGGCTCCGATAGGCAAACAACTAGGATGAAGTGGAGCTAGCGACAATGGATCATAAATACCTTGATAGGTTCACTGAAAATTCAAGAGGTAGATTTGAGAAAGAAAAGCTGAAAGCTTGCTTTGACGTAGGAAAAAGGAAAATAAGACAGAGAAACTAGTGTCTTTAATCCAATGTCGAGCTAGTATCACAATCGATTTAAGAAGCTGACTATGCACCTGTTGTAAACTGACCAAAATACTTTAAATGTCTTAGAGCAATTAGTTCCCTTCAGCAAGTTGCAAGGCACAGAAAGAAGGCGATAGTTGGTAGACGTATGCATTTCGTATTGTTTATTCAGTACCATTAATAATAATCAGTATGCATAAATTTAGCTAACAGTGGGTGCGACCAGACAAGCTTGAGGTGATGAGTGATTGATGGGAGATCACCGCAACATCAAGCGCAGGCTTAAGCTGACAAAAACTGTTTCTGAATTCAAGGGCTGGCTTCATCCGGCTTACAGCTACAGCCTCACGAAACCAAAGGAAACGGAGACTAGCGTAACGTAACGCAACTTTGGACGCTGAGCCCAGCTCTATCCGGGGACCCGAGACCAATAGATTTTTGTCCATAGATGAAGACGGCGGCCTACGCCAGCGCGGAAGTTGAGGGGGCAGGGAGCCTGGGTGCTTTCACGCCCAACTCATCTCGGCACACGATGCTTTATTCGGGAGGTCAGAGTCATGTCAGTTCTGCATATGTAACGGGCTCAACACATACGCACAATTGAACAATGGAGTTATCACGGATATAAACTCAAAAGCTTATTATTTTTCCATTAGTAAAAGGTGAGACATTGAGGTGTCAAAACAAAAACGGGTAGCAGACGACTTAACGCCAATTTCTAGTGTAACTATTACTTGGTTACGCTCTCGTGTGTCCTAGTAAGTTGAGTTATAGCATCTACTGCGGGTGGTGTAATGCACCATGAAATTGAGTTTTGAATTCGAACAACGTAGGCGCAGACATGACAAAATGAGGGAGTAAGTTCCACGGCTGCGATACACGAGATGCGAAAAAGTTCCGTCAGCATTCCAACTGGCTAGATTGTGTCGCCATATTCAGGTGATAGCCTTTCAGTGAGGTGTCGTGGCTGAGTTTCAATAAGGGTGGGCATAAGTGGTTAGAGTCTTTAAGGATCCGATGAAGAAATATGAGATCATCTCGCGGAAAACAATATTGTTCACTAAAAGCTCCTACGGTCTTTAGTCTCAACAGCTTAAGGAGTTGTAGCAGTCCAATATCATTTTTGTCCTCCTCCTTGTAGCTTTTCAAGAACAAAGAGGTCATGTTTTTGCCAGAGGTGCCACACCTAAATGGCGTATTCAACGTGGTCTCATGTAAGTGTTAAGCATTTGCGAAAAAATATGGGATCAAACCGGCCAAAAGTCCTCCGCAGTAGATCTAAGTGTTGGCTGGTTTTTTCCTAGCCGTCTCAGCGTGCTTGGAGCACCAGAGATTGTCTGGCGCTTACACCTAAAGATAACTTTCATGAGAAGCGCACTGCAGGAAGTGTTCCCTCAGTCGATATTGGCAGGTGCCCTGGTGGTGTATGCTCATTACTTGCACTTTACTGGGTTGGACTCAAGTATGTTCTGCGTTGACCACAAGTAAGCCCTGTTGAAGTCACCTGGCAGTGCACTTTGGTCGTCTACTCGGTTGATTGCCCGCCAAATCGTGATTTTGTCCGCAAACAATAGAAGCAAGACGTCAGCACGAGGAATCATCGTGGTCTTACTTCGGAACCTTGAGAGACGTCACAATGAAGCTCTATCGGGTCGGACATGGTGCTACGAACCCACATATTCAAGCGGCATCGAAGTAGCATTGAATGAAGCCGGCCCAGGATAGGGTCACAAGTTACAAACCTTTTGAAGAAGAATCCGGTGATCAATGCGATCAAATGCCTTTGAGAAACCAAGGTAAGCGGCGTCGACTCCTTCACCAGCATCGACGGATTCCGTGCAGCTAGCACAGGCTAACAAAAACTTTGTGTCACATGAGCGGTTTGGACGGAATCCATGCTGCTCATTTACGATGATATGCCACCTTTCTGAATACCATATGGGTGCATCTGTAACGACTGATTATGTGAGTGGAAAGCACAGGAAGAACAGAAATCGGGCGGTAGTTTTCGTGCACGGCACGGTTGATTCCCTTGTAGCTGACTGCGAATACTCCATGCTTCCACATTGTTGGCACCTGCATCTTGTCGAGAAAGCACTGGAAACACTGAAATAATGGTTCGTTCAAGCTCCTGGCCACCGCCATCAATGACTCGAGTCGTATGCTATCCGGAGTAGTGACATCATTGCTTTCAGCACACATTTCGATCTGAAGGAGAGGTGGCTAAGTCCAGTTGGTGATGTGCTATGTGTGATAATGATATAAGATGGCGATACGTACCAGAAATTACAAGCGAACTGATCTCTAACAGCATTAGCTGCTTCTTGCGCAGTTCGCGCTTGCCCACAGATATTGTTTAGCGGGGTATGACACGCTATACTTCACGAACTTTTAACGCGCCTGTAAACTAGCCAAGGATTACAGCTGAAATTTTTCTCCAAATCCTGTGGGTGCTTCAAGTTATGTTAGCGGGCAAGTTTCCGCGTTATACATCTCAGGAGAAGTTTACGTTTTTTGAGTCAAGGATACTAGTCATCTAGGATATAACACTCTAAAGGCTGGAAAACGACCCGCCAGCGGCCGTTACGTGCTTCAATTGCTGAACAAGTTCCACAAAACTGGGTGTGTGGGACGCCAGAAAACCCGGACGGCCTCGCACTAGTACTGCAGATTTTGCAGCTTGCACCGTTGTACGTAAAGTAGCTGAGAGGCCAGGTCTAAGCATACGTAGAATCGCCCAGCATTGTGACACCACACGCTACGCGGTTCGAAAGGTTTTGCAAGAACGCAATTTTCGTCGGTTTCGTACACTCCAGGCTCAGGTTTTGAATCCAAACGATCTGGATAGACGGAATACATTTTACCGTTGGTTTTTGAATCATATGTGCATTCACTCCGTAATGTTTACGGATGAGTCCGTTTTCCATTTGCATGGAACGGACAAACAAGATTTTGGGCTACTTAAATCCACACAGATACACAGCGTCACCTATTCAGCATAACGCCAAGCTGGTGACCTGGGCTGGAATTACCGGTCAGGAAATAGCTGGACCGATTTTCTTTCCCAGGGTCTTGACCGCTAAGTGGTTTTATATTACTCAAGCCTTAATTTTGCTAGCGTCGTTGTACTAGGGATTGCTCCAGAATTGCGTACTGCCACTGTTGGAGGCGGATGAAATTCCCAGCACCATACGGTTGCAGAATGATTGTACACCATCACATTATGTTCAGTCGGTGCGAGAATATCTCTGCGAGGAATTCGGCCGACGTTGGATCGATCGTATAGGTCTCATCGAGTGGTCCGCACGGTCACCCGATTTAGACCTACTGGATTTTTTCTCTGGAGATATTTGAAAAAAAGAGTTTACAGAAACAAGCTGATTTCTCTCCAGCCATTGTAGCAGAATATTGTGAACAAATGCCACATCATCATCACCGTGAGGTTTCAGAAAGAACTTGCTAACTGTATCAAGCGATTTCTGTACTGCATTCATAATGCAGGTGGACACTTTCAACCTCCCCTTTCATGATATCTATGTCCATCTAACACTGCTTCTGTAAATATATTTTTCATCGATTGCACATGACTTGAAGACTAAGGCCGTCAACGGACGAATGGTGCCAATGATGACTCGGGGCGAACTTAATTCTATGAGCATTGCCTGCTTCTTCAGCAGTCAGCGCCGCTCTAAACACGCCGTGCTAAGTTAGGAGTATCCGATGAGTAGATCAGAGCCTACCTATTGGAGCCGCTGGTGCAAATGTTTTCCAGTCTACACCGGAGCCATAAACAATAGATTATTTGGGGGCTCCTACACGTCGTTTATAGACAAATTAGTTCTCGGTCACCGAGCTTCTTGTTTGTAACAGAGGCCTCCGTTTAGGTACCATGCAGCTTACCGATGTGTCAATGCGCCTAGTCTGTGCAACCTCGGTGATCCATATTTTGCTCCGCCATGTCTATGTTTGTAGGCTGCTTCCTAGATGACCGAGAGACTTGGTCAGGCAGGTACTTCAACATGGCAGTTGCTACTGGTACTCTAAAAGGGATAGACTTATCGTTTTTTAACACAGTAGTCACTCACTCCACACACATTATTTTGGTTGTTTAGAATCAGGTATGCCATTATCAGCTCGTCGCGTACTCGGCGATACCGTCAGCTAAACAATCCCGAACTTTCCAGTCTTTGCTCGTATAATAGATTACTCATTCCGATGATGTATTTAGATGCTCTACGTTAAGGCCGCTCAAGTGCGGTGAGATTGTGCTTTAATCATGGATGCCATATCTGAATTGCGTATTCGACATGGGGCGAACATACACACTGAGCATCTGTCGGAGCACGTAGCAGTAGGTACTCTGGTGCCGTATGGAGAATACGTTGCGTTTACTCATGTCGAAACTTCGCAATTTTTCGTGTGACCACTGCTGTACCATGTCCAAGTCATGCTGCAGCATATCCAGATCGTCCTTCGACAAAGTCCTGCGCTATATCTTGATATGGTCAGCAAACATTAGAAAACTTGAACTCGTCGTCTGTTCTAGGTGGTTGACAAATACCAAAAACAATTGTTGCCCTAGTACAGGGCCCTGAAGCATACCACATTCAACATGTATGGCGTCTTATAACGAGTTTCCAACTCTAACCACCAGGTGCGTGTAGGAGAAAGTTGTCTGTGGTTGAGCAGAGACGTAAGCTTTTGCAGGACAGCTTTCGCGGTAAACGTGATGTAAATGAGTTCATGCGTTGGGGGCAACAAAGGCTGGAAGATCACCTGGTGGTAAGACCCTCTTAAATGTGGATTCATACTGCGTTCGTGGAAGCTGTTTCAGTGTATGACAAAACTATACTTTTGGAAACAACTGCGACAAGGCAGGTGCTACTGTATGCATCTGAGACTTGGCCAGTTCCTATGGAAGACATCAAACGGTTGGTCGTTTTTGATCATCGGGTCTTACGCAGTATTGCACGCATCTGGTGGGAACACAGAGTGAGCCATGCTGAGGTCCGCCAGTTGGTTTTTGCAAGAAACCCTCCGGTGCCTCACTTCAGTGTCTGTTGAAGATGAATCGCTAACGTTGGTTAGATCATGTACTTCGTACACCAGTTAACCGCCATCCTCGGCGAGCATTATACGCTGTCGGTGCACCAAGTTGGGCAAAGCCACGAGGTGTTCAATTCATGAACTGGCATAGGGGTATGAAGAAATTGACCGAGGGACTTGGTCAGGCAGGTACTTGCCGTTTTCGTGAATTGGGGGCCTAGTGCTAGTCTAAACCAAAGGTTAGAGACTATATCGGACGTGGCGCATTGTCGGAGTCAGTGCTACCCCTGGATTCGTTCTCTTGCTTTCAGCTGTTCATACTTCAATGCAATTAGCTTCATGCACTTCGTTCTTGCTTCCATTCTGCTAATACCATGTTTAAGTCTAATCGCATTTAGTTATCATTCTCCATTATTGCCACTTTGGTGACGTGAGTCGTGGCAACTGTTTCCACGGCACTTTGGTGCCCGGATCATGATTTATCAACTGCACTAAACTAAACTGAAAGAACCGGGTTAACTTCAAGTATGGTAAGTTATTTAGGAAAGACAAATTCCAGCTAGAACCTGACTCACTTAACAGGAAAGCAAAATACTACAAGCACGAAAATACTCCTCGACCAAGTCGTTATTATTCCTAATGTGAAAGGTCTAGTTGAAAGTGCTGCTTTTTTCCTACAGTGCTTTTTGGAAGCTAGTTCTCAGTCTACCGATGTGCCCCCCATAACTGTGTTTTAACATTACCTTTGATACGACTACGGGCACATCAAAAACTTATTGCTCATGTGTACGTCAGTCTGTCTACTTTAATGAGAACATATCTGCGATGAAATAACAGCAGTTGTGCACCACATGTACGTTCGTCCGACAACGCGGTGTCCATTTTTGTTTTACCACAGTTGACCCTGTACGTAACGGTCACTTCAGTGCTACGGCTAAACATCGGTCATTACATAGCCCACAGGCATCCAGTTTTCCGCGAAACATTCAGTCCTCAAACAATGACCAGAATGTATTGATCGTTCAACTATTCCTAGTGTGCGCGTCATCGCGTGAAACGCTATGCAAGTTGGGGTAGGCAGACGCCGCTCTTTTGTGCGTAGTACATCGTGTGAGATCAGATTGGATCTCCGGACTGCAGTTAGAATTCCCCTGGGTTTTCTCAGATTGCGCAATGTACGGCAATTTACTTGAAAATCGGTAGACACATCCCGGTCGCACGACAGAGCTCAGTTACAACAGCAATTTGAGAGGTCACCATCTCAAACTGGCAGGAATGTCATTGGAATTTCTATTCCGTACGCGTTTGCCGTACGCGGAATACCCTACTGGAATCTGTCATATGTGCTCCCACGCCCGAGTTGACCATGCGCTTATTATGCTGCACCATCTTACATGACCCGTTACCCATGGATAAACACAAGTGCCTGTAAGCGATTTCACTGGCGGTCACAGCACAGATCTCGTCCCAAGTTGTTCACCTATATGTGTACACCAGAAGAGATACGGTTTTACCAACAACTCATTTGCCGTCATTTCTTTTGGAGTTTCCTTGGATTTACAGTCTATACTACGTATACTTCAGTGAGTTCACAGGTGTAAACCAAATTTTGTTAACAATTTTTTATATTTGTAGTTTTACCATAACCATCCTACGGGACTTGTTAAGCCTTAGCTTTTTTACCCGTACAAAAATATTGTTCCATTGTTCCATTACCTCACTGATGTTATCAAAGACCTGAAGCGATCACTGCTCACCCTACAACCATACTCTTCAGTACAATAAAACATGAGTAGCCTTTTAAAGCACGAACTGGTTTTACAGATAGGTTTGGACGAAATTACTTTCTGATCAATCGCGTAGCTTTTTGACGATACATTGAAAATGTACAGAAGGTCGTCAAAATCCTCCCTGGTGACGGTTTCGTCCAGCGAGACGATAACCTGTGGGTAAAAGACAAACACTGTTAGAACTGTGCTGGAAGAAATCATATTTGGGACACATAACTTGAAAAGTAGGGGAAAGAAAGCTTTTCTTTCAAGCGTCGAAATGCTTCTGGTAGTGAGACTCCTGTCATGCAAAAGCAGGTGAGCAATGAACAGTGCTTTATCGCGGCTAAACAAGCGGGTACTTGACAATTCTCGTAGGATAGTCCGTGTGAAAACTGCGAAAGTAGATGTTATTCAAGTTACCTGTTTACGTGACAATCGTTGATAGACCAAAGCCGAGGTCTGAAACCAACGGCAGTCTATGGCGTCTCCGGTTAACTGGCGCCACCCTGTCAGCCCAATACATGATCAAGGTGGATTAGTGTGTCCAGCATACACTGACAAAGCTTAACTTGAGTAGTTACTGATGAGGCAGATTTCACCGTTTCAGTCCTTGAGCTGCGTGCGACTTACTGATTCATGGTCCTCAAGGTAACGCAGGTTTACTCTTTTCTCCGAGGCTCGTCTTTTGATTGAGAGCAGGTTTTCCAAATCACTGGGAACGCGGATTTTCACAGTATCGAAGATAGGCCCCTGGTTACAGATCTGCGCGGATGGAGAGATAAATCAATTTATTGAAGATGCTACTCACTCCTCGATACCTTTTGCACCCGAAGCAAAATAACAGTGATTAGATTATTGCGCACACTGAATAGGAACTACTATACGAAGGGAAAAACAAACGACAAACTGCATGCGGGATCCAAATGTGTAAGCGAAAGCTAGCAGCAAGCGATAGCTATCCATACTGGTGCGGCAACAGAGATTTCCCAGTTTGATTACATGATGCTGTTTGAGATGTTCCAAAACCATAGTTTCACTGTGTTCTTAGCTAACTTAACTACATTACTTGTTCGAACGTTGCTTGCATCTGTTTCGGTTAACCAACCGTTTGGCGCACTACTGGCGCCCCCAGCCACGCTAGTTGGTATGTGCTTGTGCAACCCTTACATCGGTCCTGTTTCTTCCCCTTTCCAGTCCCATCAACCATAAAAACGCTTCCTTAAAAGTTTAGGTGGCCCAGTCGATTGTCTGTTTCCGTGTACCTGCGTACTGGCGTTTTAACTTTCTGGTTACCATGCTGCAGGGGACTCGGAGCATTTTACAGTGCAAGTGATGTTTGAACCAACATTTTGACCGAGGAACAAATGTAACCTCAATGCGCATTGAAGGGATCAAATATCACAGGTTTCTGTACGCCGATAAGTTCAACTTGACGAGACAAGTTCTGTCTCACAAAACAGAGAAGCTTACCATAATGATCAGCCTTAAAGTCAAAGTTGATTGAATGGTAAGTCGTGTTGTTTTAGACCGAAACGCTCAGTTATGAGTGCATCGAGAATGGTTCCAAAAGTAGCTTCCGCAAGTAGCTTCTTGTCTGCCTATGGTCTCTGCACAATGTTATGCAACGGAGATCCATGTTTCCAAATCAACTGGGAATCGTGACTGTTATAAGAATAGGCTGGAACTTAATTCGAACTTAGGTGTTGCCCGCCAGAAAACACTGTGCTTCACAACAGTTATCGAGCTTATTTGATCTCACCAGGTGCAGATATTAGTTATATATATCCCAGTTAGTTTGCTAATTATGTAGCCTAGCCACTGTCCCCCATAGCTTAGTGGCTTAAACTGCTGGCTAGTTGACATCTGTCTCTAGCGATTATGGGTTCGATCTTCCTTAGAGGACCGAGGGAATGCGCGCCACTGATGAGCCCCAATAGGGAGAAACGCGTCTGTCGCTTTTCCGAACTAGACTCTGCTATGTAACTTGTGAACTATTGGGATGAAAACCTTATCAGCAGTACAACTAGAATCCTGCTACTCGTGAGTAATATTAGTTATATTAGTTGGGAACTCTGCACCTTTAGCCACCGGATCAGGACGATCAACGCTTGGCACAACTGCAAATGACCGATTGGGTCATTTCGCAGCACTTGTTGTGGGATTAGATTACAACGCGCACTCTCAGTGTGGACTGTGGTTCGCATGAGAGAGAACTTTGGTCAACTCAGTTTCTTGAACCGTAGCTTGGCATAGTGTTGTGCCACGCGTTGTCCGTCGTGGCCCGGTGGCTTAGGGGCAGCGGTCCCAACTAACATCCAAATAGTCCCGGGTTCGGGGAACGCTATTTGTACCTGATGAGACCAAACAAGTTAGAGACTCTTCGTAGAGCGCAGTTTTTCGGGCGGGAAACACTCAATGTCTACATGTTTCATCCGTTACTGTTCTAGGGATCGAACTGGCCAAGGTTCTTTGCAAAACGAATCGCGGTCCCCACTGAGATTGCGTGCCCCAATCCAATCACACAACGAGTACTTCAGAATAAGCCTCCAATCACTCCGAATTTGTCGTTGGTGACACCATTCATTGTTGCAATGAACCACTAGAAGTTCACTTAAAATCTAAACAATTTGCCACGGAATAGAATAACGTCATAACTGAAAAGTAGTAGTAGAGATGCAAAGAACTAGCACAGCTCATTTTAAGTGTCTTT